ATAAACATTGATAATCTAAAAATCAACTTCTAAATTAATTTCTATTATCAAAATTTTCTTTTTATTTTATAAATTCGTACCTAAAATACTCAAAAATTAAAAATTAAGTCTCTAGTTTAGAATCATAATCCTATAACCATAATAATTCATTTCTCATCCCAAATAATCATCTAAACCTCAATAAATCAACATATATTTTCAGATCTAGTCTAGAATTTGATCCATAAGCCACAAATTCAAAGATCACCAATAAATTTATACTCTAGAATATTTATTATACTACTGACAACCTCAAAAACCATATTTATTCAACATAAATTCATCCCTCTTCCAGATCTTAAATTTTCTACCACTACAAACTCAGAAACTAAAAAAAAGGATGACTAAGAAAAAATTTTAGAACACTTACTTAGTCTTGAAAAGCTTAAAATCACATCCTAAATATCCTATTAAAAACTCTTACCTTAAAACCCAGCACCGGTGAATTTGGCTCACAGATGCTCTCTCTGCCGAAGCTCACGCATGAAAGAAGGAATTAAGAAATGAAGGAACAGGTGAGTTTTTATAAAAATTCAGTGGGTCCCACATTTTTTTTTAATTATTTTCTCTCTCTTCTTCTTCTTTTTTTTTATTATTATTTTATTATTGTTACTGTTGAGGCGGCGGACGAAGCAAATTCGTTTTCTTCTTCTTCTTCCTTTCTTTTTTTATTATAATAATAATAATTTAATAATATTATTTTATTATTATTTTTTTTTATTTTTTTATTTTTTTTAAAATTATTTATTTTTTTATTTATTTTTTTTAATTTTCTATTAACCCAAATTAACTATTAAAATTTATATTGGGATATTACATTAAATGTTAATGTAATTAACATGTTATTAATGTGATTGTTTGAATGGTCACTTTAATTAATTTATTGGCCACTTACAATTATGATTAATTATCATGCATTTATATAACTTAGATGTACCTTAGTTACTGAGTGGTTGTACTCATCCCTCTCTTTTAACATATTACAGGAGCTAGCTCATCTGAGAAGAACAGAGGAAAGGAGCATTAGGCCAAGTGATAATAATCACTTCTGTAGGCCTCTCTCCTTTTATTTAATATGTGTATTTAGTCTATGATATTGCTATCTAGGATAATATATTCTTGATCCACTTGCATTATGGGTTTTGTGTTGGGAAAAATGTATTTTGGGCCCTGAGGAATGTAGTTTGATGCTTGTGCTATAATTACGGGCCAAAATATTTGTGCAGGTAAAAATAGTTATTATCATGCTTCCGCGTATGTTTAATTAAATGATATGAGTTCTTAAAATATTTTAAAGACTTGGGATCCCTTTGTATTAAATAGTCTGTAAAAAAAATACATGCTAAGAATTTATTTAGGTTAATCTCGTAATGAATAATCCATTTGGGTTAGTTCTTGATTAACCATGATTAGTGTGATGATTAAGTCCTAATTTAGGACGCTCATTACAATCTATATAGCTACATAATGCTCTTTCAAATTACTAGTTAATGGCACTGATTTCATTATCATATTATCTTTCATTCAAAAACTAGACACCTTTTTTGCAAACTCACTCCTTTTTTACTTTTCAAACTCCACTCGAGTGTCTAAATTTTCTATTAAGTGCCATAAGTTCATAAACACCCTTAGATCACATTTGATAAAGTAAAAATAACTTATAAAATATACCATGACAATCCAATGACACATATCACAATTCCAATGCTTAGCCCTTTAATATTAAAACAAAGGACGAGCCAAATTACTATAAAATGCAACTATATTGTTTTACAATAATCAATAATATCATCAATATCATACTTACTCTAATATTTTGACCTTTGTAGATATCAAGATTAATCATGCATACAATCTAGGGTTCAAATACACATTTAACTCAAATCATCAATTATAGTGCAAGTAATCACAAAAATGCAACTCCTAATTGGCATCATTAAATTTATATACATAATTGTTTAAAAGAAGTTAGGACAACAAGTCTTATGCCTTAAGCAATTTTCCTCTATCTTAATCCAACGAGCTAGCAACTATAATATTAAAGAGAGGGGGTAAGTATAACTATTCCGTAACCAAAGTTAATACAACTTATACAAATGCATGTTAATCAATTATAGTGATGCAAGTAACATATTCAATTAACACTTGTTCATATACTCAATCAAACCATTCATCTAGTCATAAAACTAATAACCATATACCCTCGTACAAGATGCAAGTCCACAATAATAATAATCATGTAGTTAAAGCATGATATATATGATCAATATCATTTTTATATCCTCCTAATACCTCTGATGTGAAACCATTGGCAATTTAATGGATTTTGTCCTTATAATTGATTACCCAAGCCTTTCACTTGTAAGGAGCTGCTCGGTCAAGACCACTACACTCACTTGTGAATTATGATTTTTCTTAATACTAACAACTATAGGGTATCGTGTCCCGAAGCTAACCTTCTTATGAATTGATAAAGATTAGTAAAGTTCTAGTCCCTTCAATTGAGATAGTCTTATAAAGAACAAATAGGACAATATAAGTAAAGGCAAGCTATCGAGCTCTAAATGATGGCCATACCACAAGAATTTCAAATATCTACTCCTCTCCCTATAAGCGAGCTCCCACTTCAAATGATCATACAATGAAGCTCATGCTCAACCACAAGACATGCACATTTTCAAACATGTTACTTACATGCGAATTTGCAATAACATATTCAAAGCATAAAATTGCTTAACCACCATGCTCAACACATCACACACTATCTCACGCATCAAGGAAATCAAATTGCATTTGCACTCATCTTTCACTTCATACAAGCAAAAAGCACTATACATTATCTTTTCACAACACTAGCCTCATTATCATTCTCACACGCCCATAACCTTACTCACTATCAAAATCAACATCTCATTCACAAATATTATATATTTTTTCTCAAATTATCGTACAATTACATCAAAACAAGCCTGCATCATATAATTTTCAAACAAGTTTTAAACACTTTGAATCAATGGAACAAATAATTGCATAAAACTAAATTTCTTTTTGTTATTTCAAGCATTTGAAAGGTCAAAAATTTACCCCCTAAACAACACTTCAAAAACTTCAATCAGTCCAATTGGCGCCAAGAATGATTAATCTACAATTTAACCACATCAATAACTATTGATATCCTTATTAGGATAATTTCCAACATCTACTTAACATTTCCAACATTCCCAAAATTCCTATTTCTCAATTGCAAGCCTGTCTATAGGGTTTATTGGCTTCCTTTAATTCACACTAGCACTTATAAACTCCTAAACCACCATTAATAACATTAATTAATATCCAACCACCAAATTAAAAGCCAATTTCGGGTATTTATTACTCTTCAACTATCAAAACTCATAATGCCATAGATACTATGTCTAAATAATATAAACAATTCTAACTAACTATACTTAAATCAATAGGTTTATACCCATAGCCTTTAAACAAAAAATCATCCCACCCAAGCAAACTCTAACTCAAAACTTCAAGAAATATGGAGGAGAAAGAAGCGAGTAGACATAAGAGACTTATCTATAGTGTTTAGAGCTTTAAAATGACCTTAATCCTCTAAGTTTGTAAACCCTAGCAGAGAACGCATGCCCTTCATCCTCTCTTTAGTTATTTCCTAATTTTTCATCCACAAAACACTTTTATTACTATAAGAAATCAACCATGCACCATAGTAAATGACACATGCGCTGTGACATGTGGTACAAAGAAGTTTTTTCATGCTTTGTGTGACCAATGCATTGCGGCATGTGGTACAAGGGCACTTCTCCTTGTTTTTGTCCCGTTTTGAAGTTCAATTGTTCCAAACCCACTTCAGACTTACTCCTAAGACTGAAACCACAATCCAAAATAGTTAATAGTTCTCTGTAACTACACATCATATTAATTTACTTAATAAACTTCAATTGACTTAACTAACTAGGGATTAATTTTTCATAATGTTATAAAATTATTGTAATCACTAATATTTACAACACTTAAATTTTAGTGATTAAAAAAATTTTATTAGGAAAATTGTAATTACTTATCTCGTTTTAGTCATTTCCAAAAAAAAGTAGTTATTATTTCAACCAAATAATTACTAATATTTACAACACCTTGGACTTCAATGGTTAAAAAATTTGAAGAGAAAAATTTGTCATTTGCTATTCCATTTTAGTCATTGGTAAAAAAAAAAATAATTACTACTTAAATTAAAGTAATCATTAATATTTTAAATTGGGATAATTATAGCCATTTCACAAAACACATTAACGTCAAAAAGGTTCCAAGAATTTGAGAATAACTGTCGCATTTCATAAGACCTTATTATCATTTGCATATTCTAGGAGAATTTGTATGTCGTTTTTCCTAAATAAAAAGTGACATTTTAAGGAAGCAATATTAATTACTACATCCAGAACTGATTATAGGAAACATATTTTAACTATTATTAATTGTTTCTTATAAACAAGCGTAAAGGTGGTGACATTCTATTATCAGAAAAAAGGCAGTAACTTTTTTATATAATTGTTGAAATGCTGTGAATCACATATATACTTGAAATTATTTGTTTAAGAAAATTGGTAGAAATGAATCATTTTCTCGACAAATTAAATGCAAGCGATCAAGGGTTACGTTAATAAAGATTCTTGAAAGCTTGTCCTTAATTGCACTATTATAAAATATAAATTTTACCACCCTCAATTCACGTAACTTTTTAAAAATAGGGCGTAAAAAGTTAAAGACGTGGATAATGCTTTGTAAAAATGAAGACATTTTTTCAAAAAAGTTTTTTATTTACAATCCACGTCGTTTTGCTTTGTAAAGATGACGTGGATAATGCTTCAAGTTTCGTTCAACCACGACCTTTCCTTTTGAAAAGTGACGTGGATTTGAATTTTAAAAGCCCCAACCCTGTCTTGCTTTTCATTTTCCAGACCCAAAGGCGCTAGATCCATTTTTGGTTTCGCACTCCAGCTCGTGAGGGCCACCTCTCCTTCCTCCCGACTATCATTGGGCTGACGGCCACCTCTTCTTCTCTATCCATGACGGCACACCTTCGATCTGCACCGCTTGACATATTCAAGCTTTGATTTGCCTCATCTCCACCGCGTTAGCAGTCAAAGGCTCAGAGCAATCTTGTCCTCACTCCCCCCGGCCTTCATTCCCTCTCCAGATTACGGCCTCTCGAGTTTCTACCCTGTTTTGATATCTCCTTATCTTGTATCTATATTTTGACTCTTTATTATGCTATTTTTGATAATATACGGGTGATCGGCCTTGCTGATTTGAAATGATTTAATCCTTTGAATATTGCAATCTAATCAACTGCTCGGATTGGTCCTTCTTTTTCCTTTTTCCTTTTCTATTTATGTTGCATCTGATTTCGATTGCGATTTTATTAATTAGCTTTGGAGACCCAAGAATCTGAGTTCTATTTCCTTTTTGCTGCTGGGTGCTTACCTAAAATTTGTAATCTGGTTCTAAATATTTGAAAGCGTAGAAGAGTAAACATTCCACTATGACATAGTTCAACTGTTCAATATCCGGGAGTTTTTTTTTTTAATTATTATTCTTGCATTCATTGACTAAATCCTCATTCATGGAATGTTATTCTTATATCATGTGTTAATTACTAAAATAAGAAATTGTTTATTGGCTAGTATCAACTTGACTGCTTTCTTCAAGTTATAGTTTTTCATCCACAACTTGGAGATAAGCTGATACTTATATTTCTATCTCAATTGCTTCAATCACCTTAGCTTTGTCAGGACTCTAGTTATAAAATGGAGTAGTCTGTTTCTAAGCCTCTGTTAAGTAAATCTGACTTGGTTTTATTCATGTTTCATGAGTCCTAGAAGGTTGCTGAGTTTGTATTTATGAATTTTCAATTAATTGAAACTCGAACCTGACTTGGTTTCATTCATGTTTTATGGTTCTTAGAAGGTTGCTGAGTTTGTATTTATGAATTTTCAATTAATTGAAACTCTGGTTTGAGTTTTTGTTTGCAGCTAAGTATGTTTGCTTAACTTATGAGCTAAAGGTATATATAGATATGTAAAGCTGTTCCTATTTCTTTTCTGCTTTGACCTTTTGAAATCTTCTATTATAGATGTGATTCCTTCTCGTAAAGCCATGCTCCTCTAAATATATGTTGTAATGAAGGCAATGCCTTGGTACAATGACACTACATATAAGTATGACATTTTGAAGCTTGAAATCAGGGACAGACATGAACTGGAATTAGACTTCAAGAGATTTTGGGAAGAGTTTAGGTCATCCAACTCTGAGAAGGTTCGTGCTTTCATTCTTGCTTGATTGATCTGATATTTTTGTTCATCAATTGAATGGTTAATACTACAAACTACGACACGCTACTTGTTAATGATTTCTAATTTCCTTGTAGGAAAAAGAAGTAGCCTTGGATCAGACTGTTGATGCACTTTGTAGATTTACAAAGCAACACATTAACACAGCTTGGTTATTTACCATGTAAAGAAAATGATTTTTTTATCTTTGCATTGCTATATGCATTCAATTGTTTGAAACAAGCGAATAGGTAACAAGTAGAACCTAGGGAAGTTTAAGCGTACATTTTTGAATTTATTCCTACTGTGTGTGGGATTTTGTAATGAAGGGGAAATGATAAATTATTTATATGAGGTGTTACTGATAAGCCCACGTGATTTGTTTCATACTTGAAAATAGATAATTTCTTTGTTTCCTCCCTTTTCTCTTTACTTTTGTTCAATGTTTGTGCATTTCTTCTTAATTTTCTTATTTCCAAGCATTAGTGCCATGCCTAATATTTAGTGTCCATGTTAAGAACTTTGAGGCAGGAGCAGGGTGGCAATCATGAAATACATTGTTCTAAGGAAAGAAGTAGAGCAGCTTGGAAGATTGTTGAGGAGGTATGGGGATGTTTTTATAGCTTTGATTTAATTGATGGTATCATAGTGTAAACTACTTGTATCATTATGACACTGATAAGGACTATGTTGCTTGATGCATGTAAACATTCCAGTATTTGATGCCATATGTGGAGAAAGAAACATATCTAATCTCGAAAAGATGCACGCTTCACCCTGATATGATCTATCTAGAGATCAGGAACAACATAAATTTCATATATTAATATCACCTATAAATCTGAATGGACACTATAATGGTGGCTATATCTTTAGAATCTTCTAATTGTTTCATGTTCTTAAATCGTTGGGCTTTAGTAGTCCCTGACTAGACTTTTTTTTTTTTTAACAACTCTCATGCTTTCTTATAACTTTTTTAGCAGTCCTCATGATGGGCTTGTTTGTTATAGTACAAATTACAATTATTTTATTATTGATAACTTTTTTAATACTGTTAATATGTAATGTTTATTTCACTTAGTGCACTGCATGCTTGAGTGATGGAATTCAGAACTTGGTTTTCTTGACGTGTTTACTAATATTTATATTGTTTATGATTTTATTTGTGTTTCTTGAAATTATTAATTTGTAGTTCTATGGTTTTAATTAATTATTATTATTTTCCTATCCATTTTTAATAATATAGGGTATTTTTTGGATTGAAAATGTTTTTAATCCAAAAAAATACCCTTTTTATAAATACAGGACTTTTTACGTCACTTTTTAAAAGTGACGTGGTTTGCAGACAACCCAAAAGCGTCATGGTTTCCCTTATTCATGTCCCTTCTAAAAGTGACATGAATAAGGTAATTTTTCATGTTCCTTAATATTGTGTTCCATCCAATAGTGACGTGAAAAGGTTTAAAAATGTGATGTTAAAAGTGTTTTTTGTAGCAGTGTTGGTTCAAATTACCTATCACAACATGATCAAATTTAATTTTTCAATAAAATTTTATAAATATTTTAATTTGATAATTTGAATGTTTATTGTGATAATCGATGATGTATTCACTTATTATGCTAATCTGCTTCAATCCAACAGCATTAAATCTTTAAGATCTGTTAAATTAGTAAAACATGGAATATATTCAATCCTATTTATCAAAAAATAAAAGCAAAAAAAAAAAAGTTTGACAGAATACAAAATTCAACTAGCTAATCATGAAGCCCCGAGGCAAAGAAGGAAGAACAATGAGAAATAAAGAGATGAGTGGGAGAGTTAGTGTGACAGAGAGTGCTAGGGTTAGTACTGGTGTGAGTTCGAGGGTTACAGGGGAGTCTTCAGGGAAGATGAATTCCGATCATTTGATTGAAGAGGAGAAAGACGTGCTGGTTAGGAGCCCTAAGAAACTGAATGAAGATACAATTATGAGGGATGCTATGGGAACCCCCAAGAAGAAAATGAAGAACAAAGGGAATGCTTATAACCCATAGATCTCTTACAAGGCGTCGTTGATAGACAGTTAACCCTAAGAAGAAGAATAGACTCTCGAAGAGTTGGTTAAGGAATGGTTGAAAGAGGAAGAGTAGATGGCGCCGAGCTTAACCCCAAAACAAGCAGCTATGGAAACTCTACCTAAAGTGGATGTTCTTGATGAACGATGGGTAGAGCTATGTAGGCCGTGGAAAGACGCTCTAGTTATCACATTACTAGGTAGACAACGTAACAGGTATCAAATAAAGGACAAGCTTGATCTTTTATGGGGGTTTAAGGATTATGAAATCATAGACATGCTTAATAACTACTTCATCATCAGATTTACGCTTATGCATCATTGTAAGTTAGCACTGACAGAGGGGCTGTGGGTCATTCAAGGCCATTACATGGCAATTCAGAAGTGGAGTTCAAATTTCAATCCCTTTAGTAACACAATGAAGAAACTCGTTGTTTGTGCAAGGGTCCCAATTCTTCCCATTCACTAATATAATGTGGAGATTCTTAAAGAACCAGGGAATCTAATATGAGGCTACAGGTTGAATATAATTTAAAGAAAGTTAACTAATGTGCGTCCTGTGTGTGTAGTATAGTAGAGACTCAATCATGTGTTAACAAAATGAATGCTTGAATTGTGCCCAAAAACTAAAAAACAAAACAAAAGAATGCTCGATTTTTATTTTACTTGAGTACTGCACAACAAATCAAGGTCTTAGTTGAAAGATAACTAACTTAAATATTCATCATCTTATTAAAAAGGGGGGGTGGTTTACATATTGATGAAAACTAGCTTGGGGGAGGAAAAATTATATCAAATTAAACACCATACTTTATATTTATTTTTATTGATGCCATATTAGTTCATATGTCATTTCTTTATCACATAATAGAATGCATTCCTAGTACAAAAAAATTCCATTTACAACCTCCGTTACTAATTGAAAAAATATTAATCCATTACTACAATATCATGGAATAAAGCATAAAAAGGATATCAAAATAGGTGCATAACATCTCATTAGCCCAAGTTGCTAAAGATCTATCTCTAAACAATATTCACAGTTGTTCTTCAACCAATATTTTGATGATCATGGATGTTTTAAAGATCCTTTGAAAATGTCACATACCATGCTTTTACTTTCCCGAATGATGCATTAGAAGATTATGCATAAATGTTGATCAACGATAGTGATTAATTCTTATACTAATTTATTGATTGTAGGATTTGCTTGTATAGCATCTTTTGTACAAATAAATTAAAACTGTTAGTCTTTTATTTATGATATTACATTCGACAATTTTTTTATTTTAAATACAATGTCTTCATCTATATTGTGCATATATTTTCAATTTAATTAAATGTAATGCCTTTACTTTATAATTTAAGAACTTTTTATTTTTATTATACTCATACAACTATTTTATTTTGAATGTAGGTGGTTTTTACTTTCTTATGTAGTGTATCATGAGATTATAATTTTCAGCCATGTATTTCTATTTGTTGGTCAAAAAAAAAAAAAAGAGCCATGTATTTATATTCTTAGCTGAGCATCTATATGTTGATACCAAGTGGCTGCATTATCAAATAATGGCATGATAAGCTTTTCCTATCAATCATTTTTCATTCACACCTACTCTCTCTGTCCTTATATATAAGATATTTTTAATTAATTCATACAAATCAATAAAAATTAGTTATCTAATTAAAAGTATAATAATATTTTAATTTTTTCCTAATTATTGTAAATAAAAAATAATTTTTTTTTCAAAACAAATTAATGAGAGTACTTATTTTTTTCTCTTTTTAATTTAATAAGGATATAATGGTTTATTTATTTAAAAATATGCTAACAACTTTTTATATTTAGAAAAAAAAAATTTTAAAAGACTTTTTATATATAAGGATAAAAGGAGTATCATTCAACATTAAAGAAACACTACTTTTTAAATGAAAACATTCATTTTTTTCCAACATTAAAATTTGAAACAATAATTTATTAGATAAAAAATATAACTGTAATAACTTAAACATTATTTATTTTTAAGAAATATATATATTAATAAATTTGAAAAAAATGCTTTGTGCACCATTTCTTTTTCTCCACTTTGATCTTTTACTACCACAAGTAATTTGCGTATTTGTTGTAGCCAGACGTCTTCTCACAAGAAATATGTGCTTTTATATCACCCACAAATCTATCTTAAAACACAGTAATTTCAAGAGGCCTGTACAAAAACTTGAATTATTGAAACACTTAAATTATTTGAATATGAACAACATTTAATTTTAATGGTCAATCATTTTATAGGCCCTTATACAAAAACAAAAACAAAGAGAAGGGTTTCCCAATTTTTTTATTCTTTCAAGAAAATAAGCTCTTTTTTTTGTAATAAAAATAACATTATTTTTAGAAGGGGATGCAGAAACATTTTAAAACAAAGTTGCTCCTTTAGCTAGGCTTGAATCATACATGTTGAACCAATATTTTATATACAGTATTTGAATTTTCATGTTAAATTGTGCTTAGGATCAAGGATGTTGTTTCCATGTTATGTTTTTTTTTTTAAAAAAAATCTTCATGTGATTGAATGTATGTCTAGTAAAAAGCAAAATTTTATTACCATTGCATTGAAGAATTCCATCTATATTGACATTATTAAATAATTAATACATGTCTAACAACAATTCAAATCTACTAAGCAAGATAAGTCACTCTCACTCAGTATGAGAGACTCTTATGACTATTATGAGCCCCATATCTAGGTGCTTCTTTCTAAATCTAGTCAGAGATTTCTTTTTTTAACTTCGTTTTAAAATTTTTTAGAAAAAAGCATTAATTGACTTCAACAATACAACATATTTAAAATTAAGCATAGTGTGGGGCCCTTTACACACGTGCAAGCTGTAGCAGATTTCTTTTCAATAAGACTTTAAGGTGCAGGCTTCCTTTTTTCCAAGTTTATATGTCGGAAGCTTGAGGTTTTATGGATGGGAAATTGTACCTGGAAAATCATAGCAACAAACTCAGTTTTCAAGTGACACCTACAATGAAAAATAATCAAAAAGACATCATAACATAAGAAACTCAAAGCTACTGAACATAGAAAATTTTAAGCTACGATGCTGCCATTGAAGTTTGAAACCCTCCCCCCCCAGGGGAGAAAGAAAGCAATAGAAAAAAGAAATAGGGAAAAAAAACTAATCTTGAATAGGATATGACTTGAGTATGGTCTCAAATGGAGGTTAAAAGCCAAAAAAGTAAAACAACCTAGAGAACCCAAACATCCAGATGTTACAAGACATCCTTCCAACTTTAACACGCAAACTTTTGTTAGTCCTGAAATGAATCAAGGCATGTTAAAATGGAAGAAAATGAGATAAACAATTGTTATAGCACATTATATTCCTTGCTAGTTGGGTTTATTGACAACTCTATATAGTAGGCATGTAAGCTCATTATTTACTTTGGGCCTCAGTCAACCCAAACTTAGTTGAGAATTTTTTTTTTTTTTCAAGTGCCTTTTTGTGTTGAAATTGCTATCATGTGTTTCAAAATCGTTTTTGGTGCTCTTCATCCTTAAACTGAAGTGGATATTAAAAAAGAGACTATAAATTCCTATAGCAAACTTAAGATTGAGGTCAGCAGAAAAGGTTATTAAAATAGAATATAGAAGCTTGCATAATTAGGATTAGGATTTATGATGAGCCTTCTTGGCACACCTTAAGAACAGGGAAAATGTCAAAGAGGTAGGGAGAGTATGAGCAACAACAAAAAGGAAGACAAGGCAGTGAGAGAGGGGGGATGAAGAATGGGAAGAAGGCACGCTTCGAACAAAATGAGCTTTTGGGTAAAGTGCATTTTAAAACCCCAACCTCTTAATAATGAAAAGGACAAGTCATATGTGATAAAATAAATTTTATTCAGCCATGAAAAAACAACTCATCTAAAAGAAGAGGCATCACACGCAGCCCGAGATTTTAAGCATTGCATCTAAGCAAAGGTACAACTAAATGTACTCCTATACACTTATTTTCTATTTGGTGACCAGTTCTGCTGGTTATAAAATAATAATTAATTTCTTGAGTCAGCTTAGTGAAGTTGACATGTCACTGCATTGGAATTGAATAAAGTTGAAGGATTCGAACACGTGTGCTTCGTACTTTAAATAAAATCTATTCCATTTTATCATTTCTTGCACTCATGGATTAGTGTTGTTATAAGATGGATCTCAATAAAAAAAAGAAGTGTGAAAGAGAATGAAATTAAAAAGTATAGTTAATAGAGGCATGTCTTGCAGGAATGATTGCTTCTATTTCAATGTCAGCAGAAGTGATGCACATCCAATCTATTAATAAAAGCATAGGTTATTTCATGTTTGACACTTATAGTTCTTTAATTACAATAGGCACATAACTAATTTCTCCATTTTTCAATTAACACCTACAAGGAAAAACAATCAAGAAGGAACATCATCACATAAGAAACTCAAAGCTACTAAACAGAGAATTTCATAATACTATGCCGCCATTGAAGTTTGAACAAACCTTTCCCACCCAAAAAAAAAAAAGGAAGTTGAGATTTGACCAATCGAAATTCTTTCTAGAAGTAAGCATAGTGGGGCCTTTTACATTTGCAAGTCTGAGTATGATTTTTTTTAAAAAAAAAAACATACTAATTAAATTATCTTTATGATACATAAAAACAATATTACCCCTACCCAGACTTCCTTTTTCACCATTCCTACGTGTCAAATGCTGAGATTTGTTTAATCCCCAGGCAATTTTTTTTAACTTCTAGATTCAGATCTCAACATGTCATGTTTGTGCCAATTGGAGGGTTAAGTCCAAATAAAGACTAAATTCTAGTCAGAAAAGAATGAAAGTCTTCAATTTTAAGATCATGTTCTTTAATAAAGACTAAATCTTTTCTCGTAACATTAACATGCAAAATTATGAGATCATTAACCTACAACATTAACCTTCAATTTTTATGGGCTAATAATCACATCAAAAAATAATAAGAAGAAGAACAAAATACTCAACATAAAAGCAAAAAATTTAAAAAAGATTTATTTCTGGCCTAAATTCTAAATTATAAGAAAATATGGAAATTAGATGCAGAAATAAATCATCCTATTCAAACCTAATTCTCCACATTTTTCCCTATACCTCCTGAACAGTTTCAGAAACATGCATTGTCCATTATTACTTTATCACTAACAACAGTGGAAAAAAGAGTTACCTTGTATTATCATTACTTTATCAATTTCAAATCTACTTGTACAATATGTCTAATTCTATATTAACATAAATGAGAAGCAGCCTCATCGATAGTAGAAAGCATATAATCACACTAAATAAAACTTGGACCGTCAAATGTTAATAGTCCATATGTAAATTTCGGTTAAAAGAGTGCTTAAAGCATCATTAATTCTGAACAAATCCAATCTCTCATGTGGCTTTTGATTGAAGAAAAGTTGATTTTCACTCCACCAATTTGCTGAGTAAGGTTACGAATCAAAACAAACCATGGAAATACTACCAATTTAAATTTATACAGCTAAAGTCACATGAATCAAGGAAGGTTAGATGGGAGTAATTTTTTTTTGCAAGCAATATTTGTTTAAATCATTTGCTTATTTCACTTGCTAACTTTGTACGATGGATTGAAGTACTTATGGTCAAGAGAATTCAGCTCTAGTGATATGATTCATTCCTCGGTGGTAATTATAGCCAAGTCGTAATGTGCATATATTCTGGACCAACCAGAAAGTAAACTCATGGAATCCACAACATCCAAATATAAAGACAAGTAGTCCACGTTGTTCCCTTTAGGATATATAAGAATTCTCTCGATTGCAAGCCCAAATAAAATCATATTCAAAACACACATGCAAATTATGTCAAAGAGCGCATGGAAATTCAATAAATTCCAATCAAAGGAAATACCATGGACAATCGCCCATGATGAAAGTCTTGGAATAAAACTTCTGTGAGTTCAACATAGAGAAGTTTTCAATTCTCCATGTGAATTTCTCACTGGGCAAATGATTTGTTTGTTGATTATCCATTTGCAGTTATGTACAGCCCGCCAATTCGTATACTAAAAATGAAATGCACATCAAGCCTTAGGTGTCAGAAAAACTAAAATTGAAAAGTAATCCCATTAAATTTTCATATTTAGAAAAACAAAAAAAATTAAGCTGATGATTTACAGACCTTAACAAAATAATTTATCGTGAAGCTAGTCTCAGTGCTTTCAACCCTGAATGAAGAAAGACAAAAACTCAGACTCAATGAAACACAAAAAAAGTACTTTAAAGAGTAGAATACGTATTTCTTATTTGCTAAAACAAAGCTTCAACAGCAAAGCAAAATCTAGAATCCAAACAGTGAACACTCATACCCACACACAATAATAGCTTCAAA